GTTTAAAAATCCTTGGGTTTTTTCTGGCAAATTAGACAGAGGAACAAATTTAGCAGTAATGCATTTATAGTACCTGATTTGCACTTTCTACAACGATCCAACGAAACCCACATAAATGCATTACATGTACATTCATGCGTTCTGTCCTGTCAGATCTGATAACTCAAATCTGAGGTTTCATCAGAGTTTCATTTATGCTCATCGGCCGTCATCTGTCACTGCCCTTTGCTCCCAAGAACTTTTTTTCCCACATTCGAACATTAATATGGATTGAGGGACGATAAGTTTTCACCTTTCTGAACTTTTAAAATTTTGATTATTATTTGAAATTTGCATGATTTTTTTCTTCTCTTTTTCACCAATTAGCTTCAGTAAAGCACTTGATAAAAAGTTCATTTTCATTTCCTTCCACCTATTTTAAAATAGTTGAGCCTTCACTTAGGTCGCTTCCGCTTCAAATTTCTCATTATTATTTTCATTTCAATCTTCCTCTCTCGTTTTATAAAATGAGATTCCTAATTTACAAAATAAGTTTCCTAATTGTATTTTGTAAATCTATCATGTACGTTCAAAAATGGGAAGTAGGAGGCTGTTGTACTGATGATTCCCGCTTCTGTCCGCACGCAGAGCTGTTTACAGCCAAGGAATGAAACACAGACGTTTTTTAACATGTTCAGTCAGCTTGCGGCCTGTATTTTTTATGCTTGCCTTCTAATATTTTCCTCAGTCATCCGGATGGTGCGCATGCTTAATAAGTGCACTTATATGATGTGGGGTGCTTTTGTTTAGTGAACGACACGACATCCACGTCACTTGCGGGGGTATGCCCAATATGCTTCAAAAAGCAGCCTGCTAACTCAGCTGTCAACTGGCTGAGCTTGACAATTCATTGAACGATCAAGCACCATCAGCGAAAAAACACGTGTCTAGAAAGGATAAAAATGTACAAATGGTAAGCATACGTCCGTCATCAGGAGCACTAGAAGAGACAATGTTTCAAGCCCCGACCAAACTATGCCGGGGAGCTGTATATCTCCAGCTGTATACCTCCAGCTGGTATCTGTCGTCTATTCAGCGTATTTGTCTTGTCTCTTCAGAGAGCGCCTGAGTGATCGTTTGTTCACCCTGGGTAACATTCACTGATACTTAGTAATATACAGAGTTATGTTCATCTAAAATCAAACCCTTGAATTATGCGAAATTTGCCATTCACATGTTATTTTCGTCCATCAAAAGTTTACATCTTTTGTTTTGTCCATCAAAAGTCAGCAAAATGACTGACTTCATCCCCGTCGGATTTTAATTTCTTGAATAGTAGCAATTAAATCTTGCAGCCATAGATCTGACAGAAAAGCTGAATGATTCTTTATATGCCCACGAAAAGACTTCAGGCATCTTTCAGGATCTTAACAGAAATCCAACTGCTTATAATTCGCGGAGGTGAGGGTAGGGGATTTTAGGGAAGCCAAAATTAATTACATATGAAACTGCCAACTAGGGGAAACGAAGAAAAAAAAATCACTAGCTGAATCAGAATGCAAATGTATATCTTTTCACTTCCTGCGTATACCGCACTCCCTGTGAAACCAGATTTGATGAATCCCTGGCAGCGTAATATAACGGGTCAAAGTTCTGCCTTTGCTATGAAAATTACAAAAAACAGGCTGCGTAGGAGCAAACAAACACAAATTATAATTCTCACTGTAAAATTTCGAAGAAAAACTGTAGTTTTTGTGAAACTGTTGTTTTGAATCATCATCTGACTCAACACGGACTTTATCCCGAGACAGGAAAAAGGGACCTTGCCATATGTTTGATAATAAAGTGCTCTTCACAAAACTAATGGAAAAGGCCGAAATATAAAAAAATTTAGAAGATGCGCCAGTTTCTCTTAGTTTTGTCATCATTGCTCAGATTTCAGAACAAAGAATTCGAGCGGATCAAAAATTATTATATGAATGTACAAAAACTATCTAGAGCTTTCAAATTTTTGTGGAGTCTTGGCAAAAAAATACGGACCTCAATGATTAATTATTTGGCGCCGTATTGCTTATAATGGTTTTAAAATGTGGTACAGTTGGTCAAATTAAAAACATCCACGGACTTTACTTTGTGTTCTCACACCGTCGATAACAGCAAAAGAGTCAGTCCGACTCAACAACATTTTTATACATCATACAAACAGAGCTGAAGTGCAAATGCTCCTAATATCTGAATTTTAGAAAAAATAATGACAAACAATGCAAAAAAAAAAACCGTAAAAATCCAACGAAAAGGATAAAACGCGAAAATTCGTCAATAATATCATGGCGCCATCAACTAAAACAAAATTTGTTTGGATTTTCAATGTGAATTTTAAAAAAAACTGAAAAAAATCACAGTTTTGAGCGACGAAATGTAATGCAGACAGCCATGACTATATGCAATCCTTATGCAGTACCAACTGATGATAAACTATTTCTCGGATCCTAAAAACTATACTAAAAACTCTGAGACCAAAAATTCCTGCTTATCAATTAATCAGTCATTAAAAGGTACGAATCGTTTCCACTTTTATGGTGATTTCTTAATCCCAATTATTAAAATCTCTATAAAATTAAGTCATACATAAAGAAGAGAGCATAGTTACCGAAAACTTCGAAGCTTCGAAACAAGTAAAACAGTAATGACAGCAGCCCAAAAATTAAGATAAAAACTTTTTTCGTGTTTCATTCTCTATAAAAATCAACAAGCTTTCCCCCCACACCCTCCCAAAAAAAAGAAAAATTAGATAAAGCTTTCCATCAGCGACTATTTCCAATTATCTATGTCTACAGTCCCTCGAATTGTTCGATAAGTGAGCTAAAGGCGGTTTTATTTCTTTCTCAACATGCTCGGCAAATCATTACCGATTTGCAATCAAGAAGGAACTAACAAATCGTAAAGAATCAAACAAATCGTAAAAAAAAATCATTAAGAACCAGCTCCAAGCGCCCACTGATAAACTTAGAACTACAGCTTCAGCACGAACAATTTTACATAGCATTACATCAAATTCGCCAAGCGAAACCAAACAATATCACATAAAACTTGATAGTGAATCACGAAAAAAAAGAAATCATCCTGCTGTTTTCTTGTACCAAAATCGTGCTCTAAAATCGTCACTGCCCGTTACAAATGCTGGCATTGTTGGTGAATGCCTGAATGTTCTTGTTGCTGCTGTGTGGCCTGGGAAAAAATAAAAACGTTACACACTGCTTGTAAGCTATAGCTTAAACGAAAAAAGAACAAATTTGAACAGCTACTGTTCCACCGGCAAATTCCTTATCGTCACTGATGCAGCTGGCAATTTCTTCATCTTCTCATGTTTTAGGTTTCTCTTATCCACATAATTCCATGAAAGTGTTCAAAAAGAACTATTCCTATTCCTACCCGCACGCATTGTTCGGTCTGTATGTTTACAGCTAAGGGATGAAACACAGACTGCATCGTGAAATGTCTTATTATACATGACACCTAATTCCAATCTTCTTACTCCACTATTCGTATCACATTGGCGGCCTTCTCTTTGTTCATTTGGTGCTGCGTTGGCCCACTTTTTTCAACCATTGCCCCTCATTTCTGCTAAATAACCGGCCAAACTCATTCTTTTGGTGTACATTGCTTTTCCCAATGAAGTATTGCGGTTCCGGTTTGCTTACGTCAAGCTGATTTCCTACGAAGTACTGCCGTCCCGGCTTGCTTAAATCAAATCGGAACCGCAATATTTCACAGGAAATGAGCTGCAATTTGCTGAAACCTATGCGTTTTTCAATTTTTCGATGGGATACCACCTTTTTGGCTGAACAAGCGTGGTTTTCCATATTTCATTTTCACAGAACAAACTAGTAACAGATTAGAATCGAAAGTAATGCTTTCAAGGCCAGCTTTACGTTAATGTTGGTGAAGAAGTTTTTGCCCCCTTTACTTTCTTAATTATTTTATTTTTATTTATTAATTATAATAATATCACCAATATTGTTATCTAAGACTTTCACAATATTAGTACTGCAATAATAATATTCAGTTTTCCCATAGATATACTAGACGAATTCTTACATAATACCCAGATTTCACACAACTAACATTAATAAACAATATTATAGGTATTTCTCTAGAAAAATCTATCTGAAACCGAAATGGATTCAACAACCCACTCAACGGTAAGATTTGATATATCAACTTCACTCACTCTTTTTTATTACCCATTTAATTTATTATTACTTTATCTATCCATTCTAACAAAACGATCTAAATTTTAATCAAATTCTTACTAATTACCACAGTCGTCGTACTGACGAGTTCCAGTTGTGGTAATGGTAAGAAATGTATACGACTTAATGGACCAGAACATTTCTTACAATCAAAAAAATTTTTTTTCAATGTTTTATCTTACTTTATTATCTTATTATAATTTAATGAAAGTTAACTATCCATTTCCTTATCTCCTTCTTAGTCTCATGGAGAACTCGTTATTAATCTACATAACTCGTCCCAAGTAGATATAGCTGTTTATCTATTCAACTAGCCGATTAAGGAATTTCACGCCGGAAGAAAGGTCAAATGCACTTTTCGTCCATTTGATTTCCCCATAGGTTTGAAGTCCAGCTCCTCCCAGTGGTTTCAGCCTCATTAATCAAATCCTTCAATGATTATGAATTTTATCAATTGCGCGCAATACCATCTTCGAAAGAATCACTCAACGTAATTCATCAATCATGCAAAATCTTAACACCCCGTTTTGACTTCCACAACATACATTTTTTATGTGAAAAATATCGACAAGAACAATGATGACGAAACAACATATAATGGTGATAATATAACGATAACTAATAATGATTATTGTTGTTATCGTTACTATTATAATAGTTATTATTTTTTTTTAAATTATTTTTATAACTATAAACGAAATGAATAATGCTAACAACAATAAAAGGATGTTATTTTTGACGAAACAACGTATAATGGTGATAATATAAAGATAATTGATTATTGTTATTATCGTTACTATTATCATAGTTATTATTATTATAACTACAATAATAATAAATGACAAAATGAATAATGCAAACAACAATGAAAGAATGTTATTTTTGTACAGGAAAATGCTTACCAAGTGCCAGAAGTCTTTTTCTGTCTGAATTTCGTGCATCCCATGAGCAAAGGCTGCCAGATTTTTCATCAGGAAATAGCACTGCAATATATTTCTTCATGAATTATAAAAAAACTGAATTTGAAGTAGAAAACTATATGTAAGTTAATGCATCATCACTGTCAAATTTTACTAATTTGTGATAGCAAAATTTTACTTTTCAAAAATTTTTATAAGTCACAGGTGGATCAAAACGGTACGAGGAAAATGTTTTTTTTTTTCCTTTACTCCTTTCACTAGGGTTTTCGGTGCGATCATGCCTTTTTGTGCTAGTCTTGAAGCAGTCAGCTCGTCAACTGTATGAATGGCTGTTGCTTTACATTTAACTTGCACACCCACTACTGTAAATTTCATAACTTGGTGCAAACTGCCAGAATTTGGTTAAGATTCGTAACTTTTCCTGTATCCTAGTTATCTTTTTCATGCCAAAGCTTTTACGAGTTCGTACTTGAAACGCAAACGTAAAAAGGAGCTGAATTTGAAATCTTTAAACGTGGAATATCCCTGCAAAATTTCAACTTTCCGGTCCTTCCTTATTCTCAAATCCGCGATAAAGCTAATTCCACAGTTAAAAAAAAGCAAAGGCGCAAATACAGTCTCTCCCCTCACTCATGATTGCAAGTATGATGATTATAATATTATAAAATACGTAATTTAAGAGATTTAGCAAAACAAACCATAATCTTCATTATGATTAAATGATGCCTGTATGGGATATTCCTGAGCACCAGTAGCGCCGGCTCCTGTATACGCAATAAGACATCTGTTGGTTGACAGTTCCCACAGCTTCACAATACTATCCAGGCCACTCGTCAATATGTACTGCAATAAAACGCTCTGTGCAATAAATGAGTAAGGATATCTTCGGTGAACTCAATTCATGCACTCGCAAATTTGCAATTTATGGATATAATGAAAAATGTAATCCCCAACGCCGAAAATTCTCTTTTGCCGAAATCGAAAAATGCAGAAAACTAAGCAAAAGAATAGCAAAATTCAGACAAAACGATGAAATATTTTATATTTAATTGGTACAAAAACTAATCGGGCTCATTTCAAATATCTATCTCTAACACTAACCTACGCATACTACATGATTCAAGCATTCACAATATTTCAACAAATTTGTTTCTGAGGGTTAGGAAAAATAAAAACGCTAATTAAATGACCTATCTGAAGCGACATGTATTTTACAGAAGTAGATAAGACCGAAATCGAAAAATGCAAAAAATACGCAAAAATAGCAAAATTCAGTCAAAAAAATGGGATACTTTATTAAATAGGTGCAAAAATTCAGCCAAAAAAAGCACTGAAAGGGGCAAGAATGCGCTAAAATTGCCTATGAAGCAAATTTTTAAACGAAACCAGCAAAAAACGGGCTGCTAAAATGAAAGAATACGTCAGTTTGGGCAAAAATATACTGTTTCCTTAAAAGGAATCATTTTGGAAAGAAGGAATAACAACTCTCTCGACCATCGTCCTCAACCTTCAGCTCGTAGCTCACTCAACCGTTAGATTACTCCAAGGTGTCTAACTGAGTCCGAAGAAGATAAGAAAGTAAGGAGTTTTTTTGGTCTTCTCAATGAAAAAAAAAAGGACAACGAGGGTAATTAATCCAAAATTTTTAAAGTAGCACGAAAGAGATTCATAATTAAGCAATATCAGTCGTAACAGAAATGAGACCTTTCCATTCCTCGTAAAGGTAGCACTGCAAATTTGAGCGCCATCATGCGCTCGCTGGAATGTTTCAATGCAACGATTCGAAATACCATCCCATACTTTCACGTCACCATCTTTTGAACCTGTGACGTACAAACGTGCATTTTCCGAATAATTCACCTAAACAAAAAAAATGAAAACCATAATCCACGTAAAAATGTGATTTTGAAGAAAAACAAAATCAGCCAAAGCAAAAAGAAGAAAAAAAAATGCTAAGGCCATTTCATACTAAAGTCTATTAAAAGTTGAAGAGAAAATATCAGGAAGGAAAAAAACGAAGAAAACGAGGAAAAGAGTACTAAGATGGGAAAGGGGGATGAGGAAATATTTGTTATAGGTAAGAAATGTTTCGGTCCAAATGTTTGTTTATGGATAGGTTTGTTATTGGTAATATTTGTTATAGGTAAGAAATGTTTCGGTCCAAACGTTTTTTTACAGGTAGGTTTGTTATAGGTAATATTTGTTATAGATAAGAAATGTTTCGGTCCTACTCCACTCTCTACGTAAAACAATAATATTCGATGGCTGAGCTTGTTGTAACACAGTGCCAACAACAATCACTGGCTGAAATGTTAATCGATGGTTTCTGGTCATAGGGTTTCTGACAAGGCATACCAGAGGTGGTTTAATTCCCGGCAAATT